GTCCAAAACATGACCTCTACCAAGACCTGGTTCCTCTTGACCTAACCCAATTACCACCCCCAACAAACCAAAATGTCCATTTTATGAAAAGATAGGGCTGTAATTGTAATTATGACCAGCTCATGCACTTTAAAAAATAAAAAATAAAAAATAAAAAATTAGAAAAATCATGACCTGCCCATTGTCACACAAAGATAGAAAGAGAGAGAGCTCAAAAGATGCTGCGGAGTTTTTGTTGGGGTAAAAGTAAAGTTGTTGAAGTTCCTACCACATAAATGACTTGTGTGCAACTTGGGCTGACACTTGACCAAGAAACAAATGAATGTAAAGTTGGAGTCACAGATGGAGAGGCATTTAGAGGGCTTTCTAAATTTGTGGGTGGAAAAGGTGGTGCCTCTAATTGCCTCAATCTCACTGAAATTTGATTAATTTATCATGATTTGGGGATTTCATTTATGAAAAAATTTATATAAAGTTGCAACCTTAAAATGTCGAACTACGGATCACCTTAAAAATCCATCAAAAAAGTTTGTTTTAATATTAAAAACTCTCTAATTGATCATCTCGACATCAAGATGTACGAATATGAAAAAAACAAAGATTTTGAGTACCATAAATGGTGCATTTTACAACACATTATCTAGATTGTCTATTTTTTAAAAAATTATATGTTTATAGATCTACTTGATTTTAATCATTTTTTGAGTTAAAATTTGTTTAATTAGATATGAAAATAGATTTTGAGATAATCCTAATAATATTTTAAACAAATTATATGTTATGATAAAATTTGAAAGTGCGCCTTAAATGGATTGTTTAAGGTTACAACCTTATGGAACCACACCCTTAATTTATTGTGGAGGCCGGTTGGCAGTTCAATTTCTCCCCAAAAAATAACATTGGTGCAACTGTGATTCACTCCATTGGATAAAACTTGGGTTGAGAAGGTCATTAGAGCAGTTAATTCTGTTTTTATCAAATACCATCCTAATAACAAATTTTTAGAGGCTTATTAACCCTGTTTTTATCAAATACCATTCTAATAACAAAATCACCAAGGTTTATTACTGGTTATATGAGAGAACGAAAATTAGGGTTTTATCACAAATTCTACAAATTAAAAAGATTTTTTATAACTAATTGACTAACCTCCTCAATCTTTCGTTATAGTGCTCGTCTTCTTTTATAAAGGAAGGTAAAGAAGAACATATTTTTATTGTATTTATTTAAAGAAGTTTCTATGAAATCTATTTGCAACACAAATTTATACAAGAATCATAGAAACCCTAGATGAACAAAAATTCATTCACAATAACCAAAAAATAAAATAAATAGATTGAAACAGATAAAGCTATCGAAAATGATATTAACTTTGTTTTTATTAAACTAAAATGCTAGTAACAAAATCTTGGAGGTTTATTACTAGTTATGAGAGAACCAAAATTAGGGTTCTATCATAAATTGCACAAAATAATAAGAAATATTGTATTTTCTATATGTTTTCCATAAGAAAGCCCATTAGAAAGAAGATAAAACCAAATCTCATAGAGAACCCATAACTTGATTTCAAATAAATACCTCATATACTATAAATTAGGTTACTTCTTTTAAGAAACGATGTAAATTTATGCCATAAATTTTGCAACAATAAGTCAAAATAATATAGATTCTTGAAATTTTCAAAAGAAGAATCCTAATTTTCGTTAGTAATAACATAAACTATTTGGTAGACCCGTAATAACGGAAACTATAATGGATATGTATGTAATTTTCCCAAAATTCTAATATAAAACTAAACCATGATGTCATATAGAAATCATTATTTATTGTAAAAACTCAATTTGAAGTTTTGTAAAAGAAATTTATGGAAAAAGCGCCAATTACAAGGTAAATATGTCATATAGGTGCATAGTTAAGTTGTCAATAACTAAGACAACGAGGTATGGGCTAAATACTGACCCTTATATAAACCTATTATTACTGAAAATTCATTTGTCTCTACACTAGTTTTTTGTACCCTAGTTAGTGCTCCATCGAACATATCTCTCATCAAGTCGATGTAGTGCCTGGCGACTCCTTTCTTTTCCAACACGAGTGATTGCATGTATTAAAAAATCATGAATTCAACATCGGTGTAAAAGTAGATGGTTGGAGTGTGTCACTCTCAATATATACACCCCCAATTGCCTAATTTCACAAATGATGACCGGGTGGTTAACGATTTTATACAAAGTTAAACAATATTATACTTTCTATAAGGCATAAGTTTAATGAAAGCAAAATAAAGCTTCATCTCCAATCCTTGTACGAAAGGCACTTTCGGCAACAAAAATATTTATGATGGATCTAAAATCAATTTCTAACACCGACAATAAAATTCGAAACTCAAAATATGCGACAAATCTTATGGATTCATGAACACTTATTTCAGGGTTAAATGGACAGTCTAGATAAATTATTATAATATACACTATTTTTAGAGCTTGAAATCCTAATTTTTTTTCACGACCATGATATTCAAGACAAGTTGATAGATGTAAAGGTTTTCCAATGCTTAAATTGAAATTTTCGATGAGTTATAAAATGAGACTTTGCTTATTTTGATAGGACTGCAGTCCTATCAAACAATTTTCCTAAAGTATATATCTGATCTCTCGTTTTTTTGTAGTTTATGGCATAGAGTTGAGAGAAAGAGGGTCATGGATGTGGTACTTCTTTAGGTATAAAAAGGTCCCAATTTTAAAAGTCTTAATAATGTGGAGTGAAGTGTCAAACATGAAGATGTTTTAGAACTGGTATGGAGGCAGATGCACCAGCTAAAGAAAATGCTACAAAATACTTTTTAAGTGTTACAACTTTTGATATTCTATAGAGTCTAATGCAAATAGATTCGACATGTTCGTGATTTTCTGATAATTACTTAAAAGATTAATGTTTAAATCTTTCATTACTATTTAAATCTTTCATTACCATTTAGCTATGTCTTTTAAGTGTTAATGGATAAACAAAATATGCTTGAGCAAGCTACGAGGTGAGATTGAGATAAAGCATTAGAAATATCAATCTCAAAATCGTTATTTTCAAGCATAAAAAATATTGCAGGATTTTAGAAATAGAATTACAACGAGAATGTAAGAAGACAACTTTGAGACAAAATGTTAAAGTTTTCAAAGGTATCAAATATATGAACCATGTTTATGCTGTGTTGGCAAACCCTAAAAACCATAGACACAAGTGTCATAAACTATAGAATAACATAGAGAAAGCATGTTGTAGAATGCTTTAGTAAAGGAAAAAATTTATCTAAGGCGCCAACCTTACATTGTAGAAATAAAGGAAATTATTGTTAATATACTTTAATTTTTTAAAAATCGTAAAAAAACCTTAAACTTCTCAAAATCTCGCCCACACTATTTTTCTCAATTTTTGACATTTTCTGAACGAAAATACCCTTTACGGTAATCTTTTTATTGTAATGCATTTTGACCATTATGGTAACTAAAATACCGTTGTAAATAGAGATAGAATTACGGTACTTCTAGTACCGTAATAACATAAATATCTATTACGGTACTTTAATTACTGTAATAATATACAGTATTACGGTAATTAAAATACCATAATACTTTAAAGTAGGATTATGGTGATTTAAGTACCGTAATATTGTGAAGATTTTTTGCTATCTCGAGCCTACTATTTATTTACTCTCTCGATAAAAATCCACATTAGCTGTAATTTTTCAAATCTCAAATTTTAAAGATATAATCTCTATTTAATTTTCATATGGTTCCCAAAATTTTAGAATGAAAACACGTTTAAATAAGTGTTTTTAAGCGAGAGTACTCCCATGAAAACATAAATTTTTTTAAAGTGATAATCCTGATATTAGCTTTGGTTTGAAGCTTTTATATTAACCGCACCTTTTTTCTTTTTCTTTTTTTTCTCCTATTTTGCTCTTTGTCTCTCTTAATATTGCTTCACAAATGTTTAGAATAATATAAAGGCAAAGTGTTGCAAGTGTCAACTCACAAATATCCTTTTTAAAGAAGGGTGTTGTGTAAAGTGTACCATCCATTATGTGCAAAAGTACCAAAAAATTATATATATTTTATTTTAAAATATTCATGATCATTTTAGCTTAGATGGTGAATCTAAAAAAAAAAAAAAAAGATAAAAAATTCATCTTTTTATATATGAGTATGCTGACTCATAAATGCCCTATCTCAATGAAATGGATAAGTTTTTTTTGAGTCAGTAAGCGTAAGAGCCTACTAACCCATGAACGTAAATCTTAAAGATGGACGTGTTGTAAAATGGCTCGGATAAAAATATGTTATAGACGGTAGAAGAAAAAGTCCCCATAAAAGGGCATAATTTAAATTTCAATTAATTTTATTTTTTCCATATTCTCTATCACCTTGTCCTAGGTCATGAATCCCTTAAATTTACATAAGAATCTATGTTTGATATATATATTATAGAGGGGACGGACACGTACACATGAGTAAGCGGACTCACAAAGGCGAAATCCCAATGAAAAACACTCTCTTTTTTTTTTTTTTATATTGTATAGAATGAGATCATTTACTTTTAATTTAAAAAGGTCATAATTACTTATAATCATAAAAATCCGATAGCTTGGATTAATTGTGACTACTTTATATTAAAAATAAATAATCTCATTGTATTCTTTTATCTTTTTTATTTTTTGACCAAAAATATCAATTTTTATTGATGACTAAATTACACAAATGTTTTTTTATCTTTCTTCTCTGTCAAGTAATGACTTCATGTTCAAATTTCTAAAAATTCAATGAAATGTCTCACAGCAAGATGCGAGCAAAGGGCGATCAAATAATCTATCATTTTAGAGTTACAAAAGAATAAAAAGTCGTTCATTTTCCTACAGTAAGGTGCATCCTTGTGTCGAATCTTACACGTGTAATGTATAACCGGCGGCGATCCACACGAAATATAAGTACCATTCTCTCTCTAATCCAGGAAACCCCTCTCTCTCTCTCTAAAATCCAGGAATCTCTGTCTCTCCTGAATGTTAATCTCCTCTCTCTTTCTCTCTCTAAATTCCAGGAATCCCTGTCTCTCCTGAATGTTAATCTCTCTCTCTCTCTAAAGTCCAGGAAGCTCCCAAAACTTTATTCAAAAGCTCTATCTAAATCTCTGTAAACCCCCGAAACTTTCATCTCTCAACCTCTCTAGCCCCAATTTTTTGAAAATCCTATTCATTACTTCTGAATTCCCTCTGCGTCTCGCAAGAGAAACCCTAGTTTCCGTCAAAAGGCCAATCTCTGAAACTTCTTACCTTTCAAACCCCAATTCCCTCCAAGTTTCTCCATTGCAACTCATCAAATAAAACCCCGATTCCCAAACGAGAAGAGAATCCCAATACACCAGCCAGAAGAAGAAGACAGAATCCGTCGAAACTTCATAATCACTCGGTGAATTAGAGGGGGCGTTATTTTACGGGGCACTAAATTTCCAGGTTCTTTCCATCTTCATCTGAGGAACGAAAAATCCTAATTCTCAAACAATCGGCGCGACGAAACCCCAACATTTGCAAGGCACAACCATTTCTAGGTCAGGAAAATGCAAATAAACCAGAGATGAAGAGGCGGCTCTCTCCAATGCATAGTCAACAACTACCAGCGGCCCAGATCGCCTATTCGAGCCCAATCAATGGCTCTCCATCAAGCTCCCTATCAATCACACAGACCATCAATGGCTCCCATAGCTTCATCATCAAGGGCTACTCTCTCGCTAAAGGAATGGGGATTGGTAAATACATAGCGAGCGAGTGTTTTACTGTAGGCGGGTTCCGGTGGGCCGTGTATTTTTACCCTGATGGTAAGAACCCAGAGGATAATTCACTGTATGTGTCGGTTTTTGTGGCTTTGGCGAGTGAGGGGACTGATGTGAGGGCTCTTTTTGAGCTGAAGCTCGTTGATCAGAGTGGGAAAGGGAAGGATAAGGTGCACAGTCACTTTGATAGGGCGCTTGAGAGTGGTCCGTACACGCTCAAGTATCGGGGGAGCATGTGGTAAGTGATGCTTTCTTGGAGAGAGAGAGAGAGAGAGAGAGAGAGAGAGAGAGAGAGAGCGA